TTTTTAGGAATTACTTCAGCCACTGTTTACAGCATAAATAAAACTGGCATTTTCCTCAGGAGTGTGTTTAGTCTGAACCAAGTTAGACCTCCAGCATCTGAGGACCTAGCCTGCCTTCTAGCTCAGTAGGGCGATCTGCAGTGACCATGTGTAGACTTACTCTCTTCAAAGCAAGGGGTTTTAGTCCTTCTCAGTCAGTCCCTGGGGCACCTGCTACTCTTTCCAGTGTCTATAAGGGGCCAATGTACCAAGACTGAGGCACGCTCAAACCCCTTACTGGGCCAGTTGCCTACTGCTTAGGTATCATGGTGTAAAAGTTAGGCTGGGGAAAAACAGTGACTCACCCTCTTTTCCATTATTCTGGGTTCCTCATCTTCTTGGGTAGTGAGAGTTCAGGGAATGCTGTGTCTTGTAAATTGAAGGATTCATCTTAAGGCTTGGTCTCTGAGACACATCCTGTCTCAGGCTCTGAACTGGGAGAAGGGCTCAGTGAGCGCAACTTTCTGTGAGATGAATATGCAAAGCTGGGGGGTTGTTTGCCAACCACTTTTGCATCAAGAAGCATACCCCTGGTCTGTGCTGTAAAGAGAAATGGGGAAAATTAGCTCTTTGACTGGCGTAGAAACAGATGTCAAGGTTAATCCCACTGGCTACCTCAGTGTGAGGAATGTAAGCATGCATTCTTTATTGATAAGGTACAGAATAGTATGTGGACCTGCTTTAAGTCTGTGAGGAAGAACACAAAACAGAGCCAAGATGATGACAGAAGTTATTGCAGCTTTGATAGCCCCACTTAGTGTGTGCTGTGTAAATGCAGGCACTTTCATACACTGACGTTGAAAGGATGTTACTGCTGGCCACGGCAGAAAGCCTGTCTGTGCTCCTGCCATACATTTCTATGGAGTCATCCTTGCAGGACACTGTGATGCAGACTGAGCATGCCATCAGAGGCAAAGCTCCAACTGACAGGCAAAGTCCAATCTGCCACACAGGCACCAGTTGCATATTGTTCAGTGATGGATGTCTAGCAGCTTGGCGGATAGGTACGTCAGCGTGTCAAGGGGAGGTAATTACTGTATTTTAGATGTTTCAGAACTGAAAGTACAGCTGCCCACCTGCTTTGCTTTGCAGTTATTTTATTGATGTGTATACATGGGATCAAAGGTCTAATGCTTGCATCTTTTTACATTATATTTATTATTTTACAGCCCTACTTGGCAGATTGTAAGAGTAGATGGCAGTAAGGTAATTTCCCTCTCTGCTTCAGCAGGGGTTTTGAAAAAAGAGAATTTTCCTCAGTGTATTCCAAAGCATTAAATGTCAGCATGGCATAATGAAAGCTGGAACTGGATCTTTAGGAATGCTTAATTAACACTGTGTGGGACAAACTAGCCTTTTTGATTAGCTAACAGTTTTTCATTGCTGTTCATTCAAACTTTTTAAGCACTGGATTAAAAGGTGCTTGTTTGAATAAATTGAGTGGCAAAATGTCAAGTGTGGTGTCAACTAAGGTGCATTAGGAGAAGCATGGGTTAGGGCTAGCTGGGGCAGTAAAGTCTAACCATATGAGCCAGTACTTGTCTGAGTTCATCTGGCTACATTCTTTGGAGAACGCATGTGATGCTCTGTGTTATCTCGTAGCATTGTATCTTGCAGGAAGATGACACTCTGCCTTCCAAAGAACAGCCGCTTCCCCCTTCGTTCCTGCAGCAGGAAGCATTGCCTTTTATGTCTGCCTACTTATTACCTTTGTATGATGACATGATTAGAGGTGCAGGTTCCCTACTGGTCAGTGTAGAAAAAAA